ATTTTGCATCTTTCTTTCGTGCGCTCGGAGGGCTTAAGCTCATGCGCGCGAAAGGGAGAATTGTATTGTCGCGTGGGTGAGTTTTCTATTCCGTGGGAATGTTTGTCGTCGGTCGCGTGCTTCGAGTGGATGTCAGCGTTTACGTTTTCGTTCTTTGTCAACCGTTCTGGTTTCTTCATGTGTGGTGGGAATATGATAGGTATGCAGTTAGGATGGTCATAGTCACTTGTTCGTTCTGAGGCAATAAATTAACCTTTCGAAATCTCAAGTGTGAAATGATGATGGTTGTCTTTGGTGTTAGGAAATTGGTTCTGGAAAATGTTGTTTTACAGTGAGAATGGATTGTTGGGTACGTCTCGGATTGCAAACATGCATTTTGTGAATTTGGGTCGATCGGGTCTTAACGTTAATGTCTTTTGAAATTTATTGTCGTGGGATAGTTTTGTCTGGTCATGACTTGGTCGGTTTTGTTGGAACGTAATTTGCATGTCTAATTGAAATTGAAAAAAGTTAAGGTTTGTACCTTACAACAGTTTGAAATGATGAGTACATGTTTGTTACTTCGGTCATTCGGACTGCCTAACATGATTGGTGCTCATTTTCTAAAGGCGGGGCCAATCTAAAGTTAGGTACTCTACTATGACATCTGTGAAAGGGAATCTAGTATCATGTAGAACAAATCGTCCAATGTAACACTAATTGATTATGTCATTGAGAAAAATCGTCCAATGTAACAACTTGACTAGTCAAAACGTCTTATGTGGTTTTTGCTATATTGTAGCAAGAAATTCAAATCGTGATTTTACAGTTTCTACTGAACTTTCAACGTTATTATTCACTGACTACATTAAAAATAGTATTGCAAAATGTATTGTTTCTAAACAGTTAAAATAATAATCTGTCCAACTTCGACTTCGATTTTCTCAAAATGGTATATGTTACATTGGTCTATTTGAAAAGTGACGCGAGAAGTGTCATCGAAACGTGAAGAGACGAATCAAAACAAACAGAATACAGATAGAACAGTGCACACCATATGAAGATCAATACAAAATACATCTAATTTCTTGAATTAATAATTGAATTAACGCTAAAATTTACCTAGTGAATACATTTACAGTTTCCTAATCGCTATGCTTAACCCACCGACGAACCGACATGACACTTAATTTTGACTTATGTCCGCAAATCTTAAATGGCCGAATTGTCAAAACCATAGGATTTTTTTTATCTAGATAAAAATAATTTGTCCAGAATAGATCAGACACGAACCAATTCATAACTTTTGCATGCGGGTTCATGACTTAGCTTCATATTTCCCGCGAACACGGAGCCAGATGTCAGTAGTGTGCTTTGGTCAGAAATTTTATTGTTCTTGCTATGGCCATTCATGTCGGTTTGTCGGTGCTTAACCTACAACACTAAAAGCAAGTGGAATTGCTTAAAACTAGTGAGCTAATCTTGCCTTAACCTAAATCAGGTCTACGAATACCAAAATTCCACACTGAGGGAATCCGATGATTCACCTCGTTAATTTAAGTGCAGTTGGTTCACCAAAATTGTGAGTAGAATGATAGGGAAAACGTTGAAACCTTTTATTAAATAAATTAAATTGTTGCTTGAAGCTGCCCTAATAAAAAATAACCATAAACGAACGATAACCAAATCATTGAACTATTCCATAAATTGTTTGGATGATACCCAGAACACGTCGTTAAGCAAATTAACCATACAATTTTTATTAGGGTGACAACAGACAAACTTTTCGCATTTGCTCTCAAGAGTTGGAGCAAACAACAAACTTCTACACTCAAAAATATTACTAATCTAAAATAGATTAAAATTTATTCATTATTTTATTTAGCTTTGTTTATTCATAGCTTTGATTAAAAAGTAATCTATTCCAGGTTTGTTTTTATGCATGAGTATAAATAACATGTCATAGTTCATGATTATGCATAGAAATTTGTTTCTCTGTTTAGTTCTTGTCAATAATCGCCATAAACCGCCTCAAACATGTATTTTCATCTGAGCTTCAAGTGGAAAAAAATCTGCAGTAGGTGTTTGTTAAATTTTATTTGAATGCAGCACCATGATTTTAGATGCTGATGTATGGCTATCTACAGCAAAAGATCATCGAAGGTATTAGGTACGAGTATTTTGCAGAACATTGGTCATTCATCATTGCTTTGGAGTGAATCACTGTCGCTGTGGGATTTCATGCTTTTGCCGCTGATCATGGGGATATCGAGAACAAAAAAGAGTTCCGGTGAGGGAATCGAGAAAGGTGAGAATATTCTATGGTACGGTGGTGAGTCTGATTCAAAATGTTTAATTATTATCAGGTATTTTCGGACTTCTATCGACATCCGCCAGCTGCGATCATACTGGAGGGAACCGAGCTGCGAGCCGAACTGCCGTCGCCACAAAATCGATGAAGCAAAAAATGATGAACCGGATGATCTGTGTAAAATAAAAACGTATCTCCATACGGTTCACTCTCTCCAGCTTTTTGTTTATGTTTTTCAATCATAACAAACCACATGAAACTGAAAAATAATCGAATCTGGCGAATAATCGCATAATATACATATGAAGAATACCACAATTTTAAACTATCCAGTGTATAAACCAGTTTTATACTAAGTTAGTATTCTCTCTCTTTATACCAAGCTATGCGTCGGTAAGGAGAGTTGTGATTTAGCGTAACTTTTAATCTAGTTAGATTTGAAAATCCTTTGAGTGTACAACTGTGGAGTTACGATGGCCACCTAGGAATCACCCAGCGCTGTCGCTGCCTGGTATGCGGAAACACGTCTTACCTTTGCGAACGCTGATGATGGAAAGCGAAGTGTGATCAATGACGTTTATATAAGGTCTGGGCCAACAGGCAGCTTGCTGGTGTTAGAAGCAAAAATGTTGTAAACATTGCTGAACATCTCCGAACAGATAGAAATACGTCACTTTCAACAGCTGTTTCGTGTAAAAAGATAAACATTGCAATAAAATACGAACACCACTAAACATTTGCACATTTCACTAACAAGCCCTTTGGTCCAGACCTTATATAAACGTCATTGCATGCTTATAGCGAATTTGTTTATTAACGGGGTTGGAACCAGTTCCAACCCAATGCGAAACCAAACTTTTTGACAGTGCGAACCTCAACCTGAGGTAGGTTTTAAAAACAAACGATCAAATTGACGTTTGTCAGAAAACAAGCAGAGCCGATCTTGATACCCGATCCAGGTTGGACTGAATAATAAACAAATTCGCTATTAGTCTGTGTAGGGTTTACTCACACAATCTCATAAAGCTCTTCGCAGGGTGATTCGCCCAACTTCAGCTCATGCTACACTGCAGTCTATTCAACCCACACATCTCCCTTCCTCAGAATAAAATTAGTTTGCAATATTTTTTAATTCTGTAGCGATTATCAATATTTGCTATATTTACGTTATTTTTGGATTACTAATATGTATAAGTGCATTTTACGAAATGCACCACCTTCTCCTATACCTCATTGCTCCTACCCATGGTATGGGTAGTTTTGCTCATCCGTTATTGGCAACGGTAGGTAAATTGTAGAAGACGATCCCTTTTTTGGTAGGTATAATCTAAAGAGCCTGAATTTATAAAGAGGCGATATCTTATCTATTTGACAGTTCTTCTGCTCGATTGGAATGACTTTTCCTATGACTTTGACAAACAATCGATTGTTCCAATTTTGACAGGTCGTCTCTTTATAAATTCAGGCTCTTTAGTATAATCGAGGTGATTTTTGGTTTCTTTTTCTTATCGTTTTACCCTCGGTTTTACCTGTCGAAATGGGTGAAATTTTAACTCATAAATGGGTATATAATTCTTGCCGTGTAGCACTACTGCACCCATGGCGCGTCATGCAGGTCGTGCACCATACAAAATTTTTTACAATTGGTTCAACGGTCATTTTTTCCATCCTTCATCGAAACAAAACAAGTCGACTCGAAAGCTGTAACTCAGCAACTCGGCAGATTTAGGCTCTGAACCATTTGGCGAATTATTGTAACTTTTGGTTAAAATTTGACAGATGGAAAGTTATCGATTAACCCTGCTATCCGAGCGTGGTTACTTCTGACAGACAAGAAGTTAAATTTTGACAACTGTGGCTCGAAAACCGGTCGATCGACAGCACGGGGATTTTCGAATATAGAAAATAACTTTCTAAATGTCACTTTTAACCACGAGTTAAATTTAACTCGGCAAATGGTTCACAGCCTTAGTGAAAAAGTTTAATGATTATTACTCCAAGAAGAAATGCATTGGAATTAGGTACGAAGGAAATGATTATTTATTATTAACACTTTGATTTCATTGTAGCTGGTTAAACTGATTATCTTGTAATCACTCAAGTGAGAAGGTGCCTTCCTTTTACGAATTACTCGCGTTGTCACAGCGTTTTGGTTAAAATCTGATGGGATTGCTCGGTGCCCGCTGTTGTTAACGTCCATACAACAGATTTTATTGATATTATCGGATATTTCAGATTTCATTTAGTTCTTCTAATTGAAGGAGATAATTCTAAATAAAGTTTTAGGATGTAAATACTATTTTTTTATTAAGGTTCAAATTTAAGATATCTTGAGATTATCTGGAAGAGTCGTTCCCCTCGGAATAAAATCGAATGTCTCGTGTGGGATTTTCCGGTGTCCAATATTACCGACAATATAATGGAATATAATTGACATCGGGTGTGTACGACTGCAAAGATACTTGCGACTGTGATAGCTCTCTATTCAAACCGTTTATGATAGCTGAATTTTTCGTTAAAATAAATCGTTTGCTGCATTTCAGTAAAGCATTGGTTTGCAGACCATGAACCGGCTCTGGCCTTTCCTTAGAATTCATCTAGACTACCCTCAGTAGTCCTCTGAACTTACAGTAGCTCACTGAATCTACAGTTCATTTGACCGCATTCGTCGTGGGATTCTTCAAATTAAACCTCAAAAGTTCCAGCCCTCGCTCTTTATTTCAACCCACTTACAAACTATCACAACCAACAATTGATAACGCTTGTATGAAAACAAAAACAAACCACAATCACGTTTTTTTCTCCTCCCCAAAGCGAGCTTAGCTCAGCTAAATCCCATGGCAGCCTTTCCCAGGCATTCGGCCGCTACTTGAGCTCTGTAAATATTCCAAAACAAATGTTATGGTGTTACAAATCCCTTCAAAACATCACGTAGCAAAGACTCACTGTTGCCCGGAGCACAAATCGGTGAACTTCATCGCAAACTTGGACATGGCGTACGGATAGTACGCCCGACCGTACATATTGTAGTTCATCAGAACCATCCACACGATCGAGCTGAAGGACAGTTTGTTGACCCACTGGATCCAGGCCACTTTGGCGTATTTCTCGGTGATGTAGTTCCAAACGTTCTGTATCACTGCGGCAACGCCCAGATTGAAGACGTTGTAGTTCGGTGACAGTCCGTAGGTGATACCGCTGAGGAAACCCGCCAGAGTGCTATCGTTCTCGGTCGTCCGCTTTCGATGCCGAGCCAGGAGGCAGGTTATCAACTGAAAGACACAAATTTCATGATTTCGTTATTAAGATCCCGCAAGTTCAACACAGATCAATCTCACCCTGAACAACCCATTGTACATGGTGAGGAAGGCAACGAACTTGAAGCGTATCCGTGCGAAGGCTTCCAGTATGGCAGAAGGATGTTTCCGGATCCGGGGTGCAACGTTGATCAGCTTCCGGACCAGTTCCATCAGGAAGCCGAAGGTGAAGCAGGTTTTCATCCCGTCCAGGATGTAGTTTTGGCAGGTGTTACGATGGAGGCAGAGTTTTTGGTGTCGGTCTTGTTCTGGGTTGAGGTTTTTCTTCAGCGGGGAGAAGAACCTGGGAATCGGAAGTGATATTTCTGTTAGAAGATGATGGGTGGAGAGTTCGGTTCGATACGGTTTAGATATGTTGAAGTAGAAATACTATAATCTTTCTGTAATACTTTTCATCGCTGTTGAAATAACAACTTCTGGATTCAAATTCATTCACTATTCCTGGCTTTTTCATTATTAGTTATGCAGACTTAGAAAAAATCACCGACTTCGGTAATTTATTTACCGAATTCTCAACAGCTGAACGGTCGGTAATGTTTTCGGTAATCGAGAACATTACCGAAAAATCTGTAAACTGGATCAGCAAAATTAGCTGTCAAATTTACCGAACGATCGTCACGTTTACCGATGTGCATTGTTTGATTTGTAGTCGACTTTAGCGGAGAACTGTAATTTTGAGGACGATATGCAAATCGAAAATTACCGAGCAATCTGTAATTTAGTAAAAAGGTAACCGACTCAACTGTAATTTGCTTTAATATTGTTTCAAGGTGGCGGTCACTGCAACCCATGCAAAAACTTGACTGGAGTTGTGATCAATGTGTTAGTGTTGCAAATTGCTCCACCAATGAACAAAAACAAGTTTTTGTCGGAAGGATTCGGCGCTACACTGAAAACAGGGAAGCATTGGATGAAGATTCCAAATGCTGTTTTCAGATCGTCACCAAAGGGGAATGGAACTTGGACAGACCTGCCGGTAAAAATGCAATTTGTTAGTTCTGCAAGTAGTTCTGCAATTTATTTTGCTGAGATTCGGTAAAACATTTGCCGAGACACAGCTAACACATAAAATTTTGCTGAGGTCTCAGCTAACAAACACATACTTTGCACAGATATCAGCAAAAGTAAATGCCGAGGTAATCGGCTGTTGGAGATTTTACCGAACTAGATTAAGTGTGTGTTTAAGCACAAACGAAGTGACAGACGACTTTCTCCGAAGAAATTAATTAAAATAATGTGGTTCTCTGTAATAGAATTTTAGTCCACCTTCCGCCCCTCACCGCCAGGTTCGCTAGTATTTTTGTTTTGAATTAATTCAAGTTGGTTTTGTGTGCAATGATCTGGCAACTCGCGTTGACGGGGAGCTGTTTTCTCACTCATCGAAGGAAATTTTGATTAGAGTGAGAAAGTAAGGAACAGTCAGCGCGGGAACCGTGTCCGTTACTATGTAGGAATGGGCGTTTTGAAACAAAAAATCGATGTTGTCGAATCGATTCTAAAACTGACTATAAAATCGATCCTCTAAAATATCGAAAGAAAAAAAATCGATTCGAGTAAAATCGATTTTTTTTTTAAATATTTGAATTATGCTTAATAATCTTCTATTAGACGAAATATTCCTCTTCCTGTTGTTTTAGTGTATGTGTGTGAGCATTTATTTGTATGAAACCAATTCACAAAAGTAATTGCACTCTATTTAAATATTGAAACCGAATTATTAAGAAATATTGCGAATATTTAGCTTCACAGTTGGAAATACCTAATTTTACATGTGACGGAATCCATCTTTGACATAAAAGATGAGACGTATACAAACATGTAATGTAAAATTAAATGCTCCGAGACAGAAAAGTTCGTTACTCGACGAAAAATACGTTTTATTGAGTTGAATTTCACGTCTATTATGACACAATTTTATGTCAAAATTGACGCTCGTATATGTCAGGCTCAGAGCACCTAAATTTACATGATTTTTTCTAAGTGTGTTTTTCAACTTCAACTCTATATCTGAGCTTTCAAAATCTTCTGTACACACTTAGAAATTTTTAAAGAAATCTTTAAAATTTAACCGAAATCTCAACAGCTGAACGTTCGGTAAACAGTTTCGCAGATTTCCTGTAATGTTTCACAATTATCTGTGAAATTTTCACAGATATCTGTAAATAAATACAGAAATCTGTTAAATAATCTTAGTGTGTAGGTATTAAAACTCACCTTTCCCGAGGGGGGCGACACACCTAAATCTCGATTCTAGATGCTCAAAAAATCTCACACTAGTGAATAAATCTTCGAAAAATCTTCTTTCATTTCTCGCATCTACTTGCATCGCCCAACCTTTTTTTTGCAGGAAATCTTCAAAATCGTGATAAATCTTCTTGCTATCGTACTCAGCGTACGCGCAGCTAGCCACAGCAAAATACAATATTTTCTGCATCGTAGGTAGAGTCGTCCCCCTCGACCTTTCCAATGTTTTTTTTTGCATCAAGGAGTGCGTGTTTTTTTTGCAAACAAAATCAGCTGGATGAATTAGAAAAAATGGGTCCAAAGTACACACAACATAAAAAGTAACAAATAAATAAAGCCCAAGATTGAAGGGGTGTTTAGTAAAATTGGGATACTGAAATACCATTTTGTTTATCATTTTTTTCAAGAATTCAATGATAACATTTGATTCAACATAATCAACAACAACATAAAAAGAATTCGGCGATTTTATTTTCTCCTTTGGTAATTTAGGCGTTTTGTTTTTCTAAATACTTTATAAAAAAGTTTAAATGAGTAAAAAATCGATATCAACTTTGAAAAATCGATTCTATCAAACATCGAACAGAAAAAGATCGGATGAAAAAAATCGATTTTTCGAGGCAAAAAAAATGGATTCTGTAAAAATCGCATCGACATCGCCCATTCCTATACTATAGGTGCGGCAGAAGGAATGTAGTCGACACTTTCGTTCTCACAACGTTTCGTCACACTAGATTATGCATAAGAACGTCGTGATAATGAAAGTGCTGACTTGTTTCCTTCTGCCTGACCAATCACATTGATCACAGCACTTGCGATTCTCCGTCAGTTTCAGGTGCATTATTTGTGTCATAGTGATTGCTGACGTTTATCGTACGCACACTACGTCACGTATACGTATACGCAAAATGTTTTCATCGGGAGAAAAAAAAACTTCATAGCGGAAAATTTTCCCGATGAAAACAAAGCACTAACACAATCATACTTTAGCAATCTCTATACCACCAGTCCAAACACTAGAAGTTTTGGAAGGTTCTCCCTCAGTACCTGCAAGCAACGTGATACCAGCTGACATTCGCTTAATATGTGAAATCCGGAACATTTTGTCACTTTTGAGCATCAACGTCAACCCGGTTTCGAATCGCATTCCCACTGAGGTGGCACCGTTGGCAGTAATCTACTGCGCCGTGGGAAAGACCTGACTAGCGCTGGAAAATTCGCCGTCTAAGGAAGGTCGCCATTAAAATTAAATCAACCTAATTTTCTTCGCTGTAACGTACTCCGTATCAGACTCGCTGAGGGACCGTTTTCTTGGAACGGGTTTCGACCCAAAAATCAATTAGCTTTTCAAAAGATTTCTGTAATGCGTCTTGGGACGCACGATTTCCTGTCCCACCGAGGCATCCGTTAGCGTGTCCGTGTCGGAACGGATGACCTCACGGTTGACGATCCGGAGGAGGATGCTTCGTCTTCATTGTCCGAAGAAGTCAACGATTTGATCTTTTCCGAGCTGAGCTTCTCGAGCCTTACGACCGGTTTGGCTCGAAGCAATTTTTCGACAGAAGTTCCTTGTGGCAGTGGAATCTCGAGTGGAATTTTCTTGACCAGTTCCTCCAAACTGATTTATTCGCCATTCGAAGAAACGAGCAAGGAAGAACTAGACGAAGACGTGGACAGTCGTCGCTTCGACGTTGGTTTCTTTCGTTTAGAAACCAGATCGGAATCGCTGTCGTCACTGTCTATTGTGGTTCGTCTTTTCGGTCTCGGAGTATTTCACCTTACCCACCAGCACTACGTGCTTATCGCACCACGACTGGAACGTATCCACGTAATGCGACAGGCACTCATTCTGCATCCCACAAAGCGTATGAAATGAACGGAAGCACTTCTTCACGCAACACAAAACGTTTGCATACCGTTTCTTGCAGACTTTTGTCCTCGCATACGAGCTTCCTCATTTCTGAAGTCCTCCTCCATGTATCCGAAGATTCCCTCCTCGTCTTCAGGTAACAAGATAAACGTAGCAGGTATTGCTGATTGCATCTGAAACTGGACTGTCCCAAAAATGCAAAAAGTGTGATAAAAGTGCACGTTTCCGTCAAATCGTTTTGATGTCTTCGGAGCACTTATTGCTTGCATCATAAGAAATAAGTGCACCGAAGACACCAAGACGATTAGAAGTAAACTTGCAGTTTCATTACACTTTTTAATAAGTGAAAACGCGCTTATTAGTCCAATTTGGTGTGAAATGCGCAATATAATGACTAGTTTTTTCACGTCTAGTAGACCGGTCCAGAATAGAGCATCGTACCGCAATCATGCTCAAACGCTTGACATACAGCATATTTAGCCGTAATAAATTAAAAAAAAAAAAAATCGGTTCCATCCGATCCTCCTTCATTCTCACCTCCAGCACGTCGATCGCCTCTTTGATTCGATGGATCTCGACATGATTTTGGAGTAAATTTTCCTCCTTCAGATCGCCCTCGTCGAGAGCTTCCGGTTCCGCTACGGAGGAGCGAATGCATACCGAGTATGGCCGCAAAAAATATAATTAAATAACGAATTTACAATGATTTTTACGGTTGAATTTTGGGCACATTAAAAATTTATTGTTAAATTATTGGACGGGAGAAAAAATAAATTTCGTTTTTAACGAAACAATTATCAATGAAAATTAATTTGATGAGATCAAATTTGTTCGAGAAAAATCAATTTTTTTATTGTTAGGATGCTTAACAACCCCCCTTTTTAACTGTACATTTCTCATATACCACGATTTTCGTTGTGATTTTATGGTAGGGGTAAGAGGGGCATAGTGAGGATCCCATGCCCCAACTTGGTCTTCCGGCTGTTTGGAACAAATTGGTTGGTGGTAGGATCAATATCAACCTACTATCAGTTGATTTGTTTCATGCAGCTGGAGATTCAGAGCCAAAGTGCGGAATGCTCACTATGCCCCTCCTACCCCTAATCAACAAAAATCTCCATTCAAAATCATTGGTTTTTTTTTACGGGCAGGTCCTGTTTGGCGTCCAA